CATATTTTGTTTTCATAGCCTCATCAATTGAAACACCTGGTTAACTCTTACAAAATCCATAATGTAAGTGACAGTGGGGTATGTGGATGTAAGCTAAGTCTGTTTTCTTTCCTTTCTTTCATTACCCTTTCCATCCTTTGTCACCTATTTATTCAGCACCTACTATATGCTAAGAATCTCAATAAGCATTTAGGACAGAGAGATGATTACATGAGAATCCTGCCTTAGAGATTATGGTTAAAAAGAAGAGAAGTGTAACATGTAATACTAAGCAAGATCATATGTGCTGTCATAGAAATATCAGTAGAAGCTTACGGGAGGACTAACTCTCTGGAAAAAAGCTTCAGTGGGAAATTAGCATTTGGGCTGGGTGTGAGCATGACCTGGCTTCACCTTGCTTCCTCATTAATTAGCAGGGTTCATGGAGCTGCTCTGAAGGATCCTCAAACTTAAACTTCATCTCAAATAAACATATTTCTTTCCTAGAACCTAAAACCAAGAGTTTGACATCTCTTTGCAAGGAAATCAGTAGGAATTTGCTTTCCAACAATATGACCAGTCTTTATGCAAATACTCAAAATCCTGAAGGGATGCCTTACCCAAGCAAAAGTTAAAAAGTTAGTATGGCTTGAACATATTCTCTTCCTGTGACACATGGCATTTGAAAAAAGGTAAGGCCCGGATTGTAAATGTCCTTATATGCCACACTAAAGCAATTTGAAATTTCTCCTTTAAAAAGCATAAAGCCAAAAAAAATCTTTAGTTAGGTTTTTTCAGTTGCTCCTTTGGTAATGGATGGCAAATGTCAAAACTTGTTTTGTCGCCAATTGGTAATTTCAGTAAATGCCTGACAAATACTAGGAACTCAGTATACAAATCTCTATGAGTTAATAAACAATCACATAATATTCATGTACCATCTCTTATTAGCCAAATATTTGTTGTGTGCTTCANACCAGATGGACTTTGGACTTCCCAGCCTCAGAAACTGTAAACAATAAATTTCATTTTTCTTCAGAAATCACCCAGTTTCAGATATTTTGTTACAAGCAACATAAATGGACTAATAGAATTACTTAGCTTAAAATTCTCCCAAAGCTCCCCATTGATATAAAATAGATTCCAAAATTCTATCACTATCTAAAAAGACCCTACTTGGTCCTCTCCTTTTGTACCTTTCCCCGCCTTCCTCACTGGATACTTTTCTGTCATCTCCTCAGGCAGAATTTTTTTCTCACTCAGGAATTTGTACTTGATGTTCCCTCTACTTAAAACACACTCTCCCCAGGTCTTTGCATATTTAACACCTGCTCATTATCGAAGCCTCAGTTTAAATGTCCCTTTTTACTTTTGTATTTCAGAGGTAGTTTGCCTGACTATCCTATCAAAAGTTGCCTAGTAAGTTCCTCGCTATGAGGATAACTTGTTTTATTTTCTTACGATTATTTTGCTTATGGTCTATCTACCTCACTAGTATGTAAGCTTCATAAATATAGGTAGAACATCCATCTTGTTTGCAGTCATGCACTAAGGGTCCAAAATGGTGCCTGGAACAAAATAGGTTCTCAACAAATACTTATTTTAAAAAATGACTATGCATGAATCTCTAATATATTTAGTTTGCTTTGTCTGTGTATGTACTATAAGCAAGTTTTTGTTAGTAGCTGTAGGATAACAAATCATTACTCCTGTAAAGTAGGTAAACATTAGCACAAAGTTCAGTAGACAAGCAGGGACCTCTGGACTGAAGTTCTTTTGAAGATAATAAAATTGATACTGCAAGACAGAAACTCTATTGCAAGCTTTTCTAGAGACAATTCAGTTTTCAATTTGTTCTCAACATGATGCTAGGACAATAGTCATGCCAGAAAAGAGCTTCAAAGATCTCAGCAACTCAAATTTCTTGACATAAACAAACCCCCTTGTGGAGGGACAATCTCCCAGGATGTTGGGTCCCCGAACAGAGTCTCTATTGTTCTGAATCAGGAAACTTCAAGCATCTACTGGCATTTTCCATCCATCATTTTCCAGGATTGGTGCCCACAGTTTTCTCTTAGGTATTCTTAAGACTAGATTTGGAAACTGCTCCTGGTTTGGCTCTCTCTCCTGGGCACAGTGATCTTAATGGGTATAAACACACCTGGAGGCCCGCAGAGATTTTCCCAGTTCCCTTGTTCCTCTTTGGCTGCATGCCCAAAGAGCTCAAAGTGCTGCCCTCAGACTTAGTGTGGCACTCGACTTCACCTTTTTTTTCTGGGATTATATGAATAAAGGTGTGTTTATCTCTAAACATATTTTGTTTTCATAGCCTCATCAATTGAAACACCTGGTTAACTCTTACAAAATCCATA